TGCCGTGGGTTCTGATGAAATAGCTGGTTTTGATGAGGATGCTGTGGGTTCTAATGAAATGTCTGGTTTGGATAAGGATGCCGTGGCTTTTGATGGAGTTGCTGGTTTTGATGATGATGCCGTGGGATCTGATGAAATAGCTGGTTTTGATGAAGATGCCATGGCTTTTGATGAAATAGCTGGTTTTGATGAAGATGCCTTGGTTTTTGATGAAATAGCAGTTCCTTGAGCCCTCTTGACTTCTATAACCTTCTTCTTTAAGGATTCATGGATCTTCCCATGCCTCCTACGATAGATTTTTAGTATGCCTATGGGGTGGATGCCCCGTTTGAGCGCACGTATTGCTGCCTGGAAGTCCCAATGCTTCGAGAACGCAGTCACCTTTTCGTACCCACTCATGGTCGTACTCCGGTTGGTCCCTTGCGGATTCTTGATAGCCTTCAGAACCTCGTCATCGCTAGAATCCCATTCATATTCATCAGAGGTATCAAGCTCATCATCTTCAATCGGTATATCATGAGCCTTCTCCTTCCCCTTCTTCCCATAAATCTCCTCGATCCTTTTGAGATTGTCTCGAAATATACGCCACTCTGTTTTCGAGGTGTTAAGAAATTCTTTCCAGACTTGTTGCCGTTCCTCGTCGGATGAGTAATGTGCAAGTTCCTTGTCCCTGAATTCATTACGGAGCATTGACGAAACCCCATCACCCATTTGCGTCATTCGCGCATCCGCGGCTCGGTATTCCTTGATAAACGAGTGTCTAAACCGGCATATTGACTCTCGGACCTCCAGTGCTGCTTCCAATTCTTCTTTAACTAGTACTGAGCGAGTACGAGTCTCGTGCTTTCGGCGCCAGCGAGCTTCCTGACAGCGTTCGATGAGTCGCGCCTTGAGGAATGAGTCTGTGATTGTCTCTAATTCCTTCGTGAGAGTGACTCGAAGTGCTGCTAGCGAGTATTTCCGACCCTTTATCCAGATTTCAATCGATCCCAAGTCATCGCTGGCTGGAGGAACCTGATCTAGACCGCTCTGAGGCAAGTCGACGACTAGATCGCGATGATCTGGCGAGTTATTACAGGCATCCACCCCTACTTGGCCCGTATCTGATGGCGAATTCATTTCACCTTCGAGACGTAATAGATGTCAGCTTTGAGGGTAGTTGTTAACGAATCCTTGACTAACCACAGTGTAATCCAGTGTGATTTGAGTGAAAACAAGTGAACGAAGCTGAGGTGACTTCGAGAAGTACCGCGGGGGAAGGGTGAAGCTGAGGTTGGGTGAAGAGAAGATCAAGCTAAGAGAGGTTGAAGTTAAATGAAGAGAAGATCACGTTGAGAGAAGTCGAGGTTAGATAAAGAAAAGATTATGTTCAGAGAGGTTGAGGTTAGATATGAAGAAGATTAAGTTGAGAGAGGTTGAGGTTAGATAAGAAGAGATGAAGTTGAGAGAAGTTGAGGTTAGATGAAGAGAAGATCTACTTGAAGGACGGGCGAATAGATATGCGAATGCGTCCTCGATTGTAAGATTGAGTAACTTGAGTAACAATAAAAACTCGATTGATCTAATCGTTCTTCAATAATCCAGGTGTTCCTCAATAATCCAGGTATTCCTCGATAATCCCGGCGTCCCCCGATGATCTAAGTGTTCCTCGATTGATCCCGGCGTTCCTCGATGATCCCGGCGTTCCTCGATTGATCCCGGCGTTCCTCGATAATCTAGGTGTTCCTCGATTGATC